GGGGGGGGAGAACAACAGCCCCCCCCACCCCGCTATCGGCTCCATCTGATCGTTGCCACAATCACAACTGCTCGGAAGTCACTCTGCATCGCATGCAGCTTGGAGCCCCACGCTGCTTGATGGGCTCAGGAAGTTGCAAAAAGTCTGGCGGCTCATCGTGAGAATACAAGGGTCCTGCGCTCGCAGCACTTCGATAGAACAGCACGCTAGCCTTGCGCTACAGGGAAACAGCCCTGACTGCAGCCGTCCTTTGGAAGGAACTATCAAGTGGACACAGCCGTCAGGCGCCTGCAACGAGCGCAAGATCGCAGGGGAGTGACGGAGGGAGAGCAGGGAGGCGAAGGGAAGCACCGGTGGCCAATGTCATTGAACACTCCTGGAGACAGCGCGCGCCTGGCGGCTGTAGTCCCTAAATGTCGGCCGAGCATCGTTGAAGACTTCGGCAGTGCTCACCTCCAAACACGGGACAAGCACAGGAGTGAGGACAGACCCAGCGGCCTCTCCTTTCTATCAGCCGCTGCCAGCCTCGGAATCTTCTGCCTCGGTGTCGACGTCTTGCTTGATTTCCACGGCATAGCCTGCGAGGGACCCTTTCGCAAGCAAGTCTGTCAAAAAGTTCATCTCGATTGCCTGGACCTGCGTCGTCCAGGCACTTCTCATGGTATTCGTCCTCCACCTTTCGGGGAGTCGCAGCAACCAACCAGCATGTTGGAGCACCGCTTAGAACATCTTGTTAAGCTTTCTGCATTCTTTGCATCTGCAAGAGGGAGAACTTGACGATCCATCTCTCGCTGCTTCAAAGCTTCTCTACCTCAGTGGGACAGCGTCGACTGTGACAACTGTCCTTCACAGCGCGAAGGCTCTGACTCCTGACCGCGGAGACGAGCCGGCGGACCCTAGGAGGTGCAACTGGCACGTATCGGACCAGCGACCTGCAGAGCGGGTGTTGCTGTGAAGTCGCAGCCCCTCTCAACGATGGCCGTTACCGGCCTCTCCAGACTCAGCGGTTCCTGCATGTCCTCTGGAGCTCGCGGCCGGAACGGAATGAAAGCACCGTCCTGCGGCTGCGCTGCAGCGTCTCTGACTACATGAGCTACAGGATCCTGACAGAGAGCTTCCCCAAGCATTCCTTTGACAGAGGTTCGTACACGGCGGCGAAATCGTCGACATTGTCCTGTCCAATGCAGTGATCGCAGAGCTCTGCGACAGCTCGACACTGAGCCGAGCTCTGCTCCTTCCACGGAGCACACGCATTCATCGGCCCAGAACGTGGCAGAAGCGAGCTGACACCCTTCGGTGCCAGGAGGGGGGGCTCGGCCTCGGAGGCTCGGAGGTCGGAGAAGCAAAGAGCGCCTCCCAGGCCTCTGCTGGGCCTCTCGCCACAAATCCGTTTGGAGCTGGCGGCCCTTCGGGTGAAAGTCGAGCGGTGATCTGCAGTTCGTTTGTCACAATCTTGTCATTGCCTACAGACCTGGACCAAAACACCGCGGAGATTCAGTTTTCTGGTCGCATATGGTCGCATGACACATCGCTGACGCAAGGACGAGCTGGCACGTGAAAATCCACCTTTTCGGCCCGCGTCTACGAATTGAGAAACGTCCTCGTAGCGCATTCTTGTCAACTCCCACTAGGCACAGGTGTGTTCCCGGTCAAGATCCATGTGCGTGGCTGGCCTTGCAGGAACCATGCTGCAATGCTGTGGAAGGACTAGGATCATAATCATAACCATGCTGGCAATGAGGCTGTATGCGCCTTGCACTTCTGGCATCACCGAAAATCGGAGACTTAACATCTCAACATGCGGCATCTCACAACTATGGAAAGTCGCCGCTTGCAGAAGCCGTGACATAGGCGTGCTCAAGTTCCTCCGTTGCTTTCGAAGCACAAGTGCCTCTAGACATCGAGTCTGACAGGCCACCACCGGTGGAACGCCACATGCGCTGGTCGTCTGCAAATGAGTTGACCAAATTTCAACAGGGTGCGGTCCTTCTCATGGCTCTGGCTGCTTCTCTGACGCCCGCCCGTCTTGACTCTGTGTGCTTGGCGTGGTTCTGCCTCTCGCTCTTCCCCACAATGCAACACCTGTCTGTCGCGTTGGAACCGCGCCTCACGTTACACATTCTCGATGCAATGAGCACTGGCACTGAGGCGTCAGAGACATGCAGAGCCCAGGCCTACGATTCGAACACGCAAGATACAGACTCTGCAAGCACGTGTGGTCACATGGGTCGTCTGGCAGAAGATTGACATCTGCCTCCAAGAGGCCGTATATTATGTATCCGACAAGCCATGAGCAACAAATGCAGGGCTCAGGCTTGTCTTGTCCATCAACAACACCACTTTGGCGCAGACGTCCGATGCAGGCTCTATTGCGAGATCAGCATTCCGGAAGACGAAGCCTTCAGCATGAATGCTAGATCTACACGTTGGCAGCCTGTCGCCTATGCCTGAGCCAAGGCTTTCGATTGTGAGATAAGCTGAAGCAACGTGGGCAGTGGAGCTCAATGACGGCTGACGGGCGCTCCAAAGTTTGATTTTTGACGTCTGTTCGCCAATCACTCTGCTTTCTTCGCCTGCGCAGATCTCACGCTTAGCAAGCGGACGTCACACAGCTGTGCAACTGCGCTTCCACCTTGCTTTTTCGAGCTTTGCCTTGCGTCTCCTTGGAGTCCTCAACTGGAGTCATCATCGCCAACAGAACATTAGGGGATCGGTTCATGCAAAGGCGTCGTCCTGCTTCAGAGCTTCCTCCGAAAGCTTCTTCGTCTGATCAAGGGAGCTTTCGTCAAACTGCACTGCACTCTAAACGCAAGTCTCCCATGTGTGCTGAGGTCGAATCATCAACAGGAAAGATGACTTCCCTGAAGTTGCCGAGGCAGCCCTGCTCGCAGCAGCCACTCACACAGGTCATCATCACTCTTCTGTGCGACATTGTTCGACCTAATTACTACAAGAAGACGCCACTGCGGTGAAACTTCGGGACTTCCCATTTTCCTGCATCTCACATCCGACATCTCCTGCTTTTTGCAGGGGGCCCGGGGGCCCTGAAAGCCGCAGACATGAGCGGAGACGGGCCCTCTTGTAGTTCCCATCACGGCCGATCGAACTTTGAAACGGCCCGACATGGCTGTGACCATGTTCATCTACTACGCAAGGAGCACGCGAGTCTACCGTGCATCCCCGACCGCAGCTTGGTCTGTGTGAGACTTCACTGCCCTCCGAAGCCCCATCCACAAGCTGTCTGTGAATGGCTGTGACTTTGATGATGACACGGGCACTGGGTGATCCGATGGGGCTGCACAAGCAACAGGCCTGTACAAAATTGCATGTGCTGAAGCTGCAAAGGTACTTGAGCCTCGAGCCCACATTCTCCAATGCTTTCGAACATGGGCCGACCCTTGCTTCCACTACGTTGTTTGTGCCAGTGCACAACTCGACCGGCTTGATCTCCTCTCTGATCGTTCTGGGCTGGATGGAAAAATCCTGGCTCCTGGCTGCAAACCAGCACTTGGGACACCCTGTCTCACAGGAGCAAAACACTCAACAAGCAATGCTTGCCTCGTCGTTGCTCGCTGAAGAATCTCTCTTGGTCCAGCTGAAATTCTTCTTCTTGTCGTCGCAGACTCGACAGCACATCACAAGTACTGAACCGAAACAAATGCAGTTTAAGTCATGAGCCAGAAGAAACTGAAGTAGCGACCGGGCCAAGACTAAGATCCAGGCAATTCTTCCATGTTTGTTTCACCCAGGTCTGACTGGTTTAGCTCGTCCCGAGTGCTGTACTCCAGCAGCAGACCTGCAGGCCATCAGACTCCAAACCAGACATTTCTGAATCGAAAAGCTTCTGACCCTGCGCGGTCGCGGCACCTGTCTGGCGGAAGAAGTCGACGAATTCCGGCCATGTCATCGAAGCACCACCCCCTGACCCCAGCTCCTCCAGCATTGCCTCAACAAAAACTGGGAGAGATCTGCTGGCCGCCAAGAACACCACTCGCAACACTTTCGACTCGAGCGTCCAAGGTGCCCTCACCCACTGCATGTCGTCCTGGTGACTGGAACGTCGAGCTACGTAGGGCTGGGTGCTTTGAACTGCAGTGCTTTCGGCTTAGATTTGCGGGACTTCAACTGCTCAGTCCCGGGTGAGCTTGCCAGCCGTCGGCCTGTTCTCGGGTTTGAGCTGCCATAATCGGCCTTCGGACTTCTCTCTCAGCAAGAACACGAGGTCCATGATCTCCTGTCGAAAGGCTGCGATGGAACAGCTTGAGCTGCAAGGCTGCAAGGTTGAGCGGTAAGTCTTTTTTGCACATCGGTCCTGGTGCTTCATCATGCCCAGGATTAACTTGCGCACAGTGACCTCACCCGAGCGGTTCGTGTCCAGCAGCAGGAACCATTCCTCCAGCCGCGAGACGCTATACGCGACTCCCGGGCGAAGACGCGCCATGCCCTCCTGCACTGGCTGTCGAAGTTTCGTCAGAAGTGGCGTTTGCCTCTCAGAGCTCTTCGGCAAAGTAGGAGTCTGCTCTTGCTTGTGCTTCGGTGGCTCCAGGCATGGAACTCCCTCGGGTGGATGCTTGTGTCTCACATTGCTGTACCGCCTGTTTTGTTCGGAAGTCGGCAATGGGAAGTGATAGTGTGCCGTCGACGCGACCAGAGGCTGGAATCGGGAACTGATTCTCATGTTGTACTTCTCACCAAGCTCGACCTTGTCATTTTGGAGCAGGATCTCTGCCAGCGGTGCCTGCTCGGAAACGCAAGGCCAACAGCAGATGCCTAGGTTTTGGACGAGCACGGGCTGAGCTGCCTCCGACGCGGGCAGCTGCCACTCGGTCAGGCCACTGAGCAAAGCCGTTTCACACGGAGATGCCGATGCTGGCTTGCAAGGCCCGAAACCTTTCCCGTAGCCGTGACCAGCCTCGAGACCCCGAAATCGCGGTCCAAGTGGTCCGCAGGGACAAACGAAAGCTGAGCACGGCACACGGTAGGCTTCTGCCTCCTTCAGTCCTTGTTCACCTGACATTTGGGGTCGTTGGGCATTGTTTGGCTTGTTCCCACGGACGGTATGCCAGAAGGCTGTGTGCCAACACCGGGCTGAATGGAAGACTTGCGATATGCACTTGCCAAGTCGCGACGATTGTTCCCGCGGGCTGCGAGGCGCGCGAGCATTGAACGAGGCTTTGCCATCGTCTTTGCTCGAGCTCCGCTTCGCCTGAAGCCACAAAGACGGGCTTGAAAGCTCAAAAGAAGTCCGCGTATTCTCCGAGACCTGGGACCTAGGAAGCATGGCTGAGACTTGCGGCTCGGTGGTGTTTGGCCGCGACGGCAGCGATGGAGTTGAGGGCGACATGGCTCTGCCTGCGCGTTTGGGAGTGTCGAGGTGTCGAGCTAGCGGCTGCTAGCAGATTCTGTTTCTGGAGCCGTAGCCTGCAGTGGTGGAGGCAGTGGAGTCGGGTCGCTCCATCTTTGCAGCCATGGCGCTGGCCGCGCACACACAGACACACGTGCTGCCGGAAGAAAGCGTTGAGAAGGCCCGTTCTACACTCGCATGCACAAGCATTTGCTGCTGTGTTTTTGTATTTTGTTCATAACCGTCTCTCTGCTGAGTTCTAGGATTCGAGAATAGGCTGGCAGGGGTGGAAACGGCAGGAATTTCAACGATACAAATTGCACAACGCGGTGATGCGGTCTTGAGCCGTCGTGAGCTTAGCAAGGCTTCTCAAAGTTGCATGGCATGACGTCTTTTCAAAATCAGTCTGAATTGAATGACAAGATGTGTCGAGTGCACGAGACCTGGTCATACTCATTTACGAGGAGCTTCAACTTCTCCTTTCCCTCTGGACCTTCCTGGTGAACCAGACTCCCGCAAAGTCTCAGTCGAATACAGCAGCCAGATGCTGATCGGGTCTCCGGCGCGTTTCAAGCACATCCTGACGTAGCTCCACTTGCTCAGCTCGTTCGTTGTGGTGCCTGGCCGAGCGATTCACAGACGAAAAGAACTCCACACACAATACACCTGCAGCCGAGATGACTGGACCTGCTTTCACTAAGTACAGGTGCCAGCCGAAGAAGCCGAAGAGCACGACTCCCATAATGCAACAGAGGGCGCAGATAAACACCACCATGCCCTGGGCGGCAGAATGACAAATGCAAGAAATTCGTTGGAAGACGGGAGCAAGGCCTCTGTGGCAAGCAAGTACTGCATCACCATCAGCTTGGTCGCTTGAAACCGTTCCTGCGTTGCAACGCAGGAAGGCACAGAGAGAGAGAGTCTGAGAGAGGGAGACACACAGAGCGCAGCATCCGCCAAGCCGAGGCGCGCGAGTGTCGGGCCGAACGAAGACGGCGCTCAGCAGCTCCTTCTGCACCTCCCCGCGGGTCAGGCAAAAAACAAAAACAGCTCCGAGCTCTCGGCTCGGCTCCCGACGATGAGGTTCCAGAGGATCGTCGCCGTGAGCCCTGCGGTCGTGACCGGAAAGTTCACGTCGAAACGAAACCGGGGCTCGAGCCGAAGCCGTAGAAGCAGATCACGAGGTGCGCACCCAGAAACCTTGGAGAATCGCAGATTGAAGGGAGCTGGACGGCACCATTCACTGAGACGAGTGCGCTAGGAAGTACTTGTGGTTTCCCACACCCACGCAATTGTTGATCCATATGCAATGGTGGTCGAACCTGCGACAGGGTTTCACACAAGCAGCCTGCCCTGTTGGATGGCACTGGCTCGAACCTTGCAACGCAGTGGTTGCACAGGGAGCAGTGTTTGGAGCGTGCCGGTTTCGCCAGCTCGCAAGATCTGCAGACGGCCATGTGAAAGATCTGCTCGTCCCACTGCAAGGCACAGGGCGATGCGAGGTCTGAGATGAGCAGCGAGCAGGTGAGATCAGACAAACAGGCTGCTTGCCAAAAACTCATTGCTGGAAACCCCTGGTACAGGACCTGGGGAACTTCAGCACTGAGCTGTCAAAAACTTGCTGTCGCCTTCCAAATCTCGCAAATCTTGTCCAGATTCTGAGGAGTCACAATCCCCGGATCGGCCTCATTCAAGGCTCCAACACACATTTGGCAACACGATCTGTCATATGAGACTCGGGCTGTGCAGGCTCTCCACCAGATTGCCAGGCAAGTAGAGAAGATACCAAAACCAATGTACTTGTGGACATTGCTAAGCAGCCTCAGCGAGAACATACGGTCATGCGGCTTGATGGATTCCAGGCGCATGCTATCGTATGAGGTTCAAGCTTGTTCGGAATATGAGGGTGGCTGTATGCCACAAATGTGGCATAGCCACCCACCACGACCAGCAACTGAGCAGGCGGGACACAAAGCGAAAGAGATCCGTGGCATAAATTTGTCAGTGATCAATCGATGCTGAGATCACTGCATAAAAGATCTGCACCAACGGGTTGCTTGTGTAGCAAACGTACACCCAAGCAGCATCCAACACGGCAGGAGCTCTCTTGCCGAAAACTTTCTCTAAAGCCTCCGGGCTCGAGATGGCACCGCACTGCTGTACGAACATAAGAGGTGCGAGGTGCCTTCTTGAGCAGTCTCGGAAAATGCATGCAGAAGACGCGGTAGAGCTTGTCGAAGAAGGAGTTTCCATGCTCTTTGCCCCATAGGAAAATACCTCCAACGGTCTCTTCTGGGCACACCAAGACTGGCCCTTAGGAAAAGCTGCCACGGGGGGCACCGACTCCGACACCACCAATCAAGATGTATGCAGCGATGGTTACGTAAAAGATGCTCATCAGCGGCAAGGTTCTGAATTCACTTTGTCTATGCTGGTGGGTTGCAGCTCAGCATGGGGGGGTACCTAACCCACTCGAGCTCCTCGCTAAAGCACAAGGTTGCTGGTACTGGCCAAATGCCCACATGCCACAGAATGCCTGCTCCCCTGAGCGCTACATGCTCAACTCGTTTGGTCGTTTGGCGTGTCTGCTAGAGTCATGTCAGCTGCAGAGCCAGCAAGCGACACTCAAAGCTCTATGCGTATTTAGTGGCGCTGCGTAGTGGCGTTCAGGCGATGAGCTGCTGGAAAGCACAGCATTTGCAGGCCTCCGTGACCGTGATCACTGTAGCCCGTTAGGTGAGACCGTGTGAGACAGGGTGAGACACGGTAGAATGCTGAACTATCTCGCAACAGTCATGGTTCCCATGCTGGTGCTCCTGGTTTCCATGCCCACCTGAATTGGCGAACAGCATGTTGTGACAAACAGTTACAGTGGCTGCTTGCGGATCTCCCGCCTTCAAGACAATTCGCCCCGTGGCTTCATCTATCTGGCGCTTGGCTCGAATGAAAGTCCTGGAAAGGCATCTCAAGATTGCGCGATGAGCTTGAAACAGGCGCTGCAGCTCTGCAGCGAAGAGCTTCCTACGTTTGGCCAATTTGGCCAGCATCGTGCGTTTTGGACTTTCGCATCGTCTCAGACTTTACACCGAGGCACTGTGGAAAGACGTCAGCGCGAGTTCTTGGAGCTGCTTGGACAGTTTCCTTGGATGGAAGGAGCCAAGCAATCTCGTCGCGGACATGAAGCGCCCTGCGACCTTGCGGTTCAGCTCCACATGATCTTTCAGCGTCTTCGTGCCTCAAAGCAGTTGTCGGGTGATCGTGTTGGGGAGAGCCGCTGGGGTCCCCTACCCTCCAGTCGCGAAGCATGCGTTCGTAGCTTGCCCTGTCATGGAAACAGCATGCAACGCGTGCCGACCTTCGATGGAGCTTGAAATCGAGACACTGCGAGAGAGACGGAGGAGGAAGAGACGATAAATGAATTACAAAAGAATTCCCATGTCGGCGGCACCACAGTCTCTGTGTCACCAGCGAATTCAGCACGTCGCATGTCTTCGAAGAGCTTGTCGATGCGCCTGATCCATTCCATTGTTGCTGGCTGTTTGGTCACTGGGAATGCCGTGTCATGAGTTGTCGCGAGCAGTCCTGTCAAGAAGCTCGTCGTCAAAGCGAGGCCAATCTAGCTTCCTGCAGTGTGAGTCCACTTGTATCCGAGAGCATCGGGACTCCGTACAAAACGCGCCGAGCTTGCAAAAGCCAGGTAATCACTTCTGCCGGGGGCATGGTCGCCTCGCAGCACAACACGTTGCTGCTTCGGCGCATTCAGAACTTGGCCCACCGATGCGTCTTGCATCAGCTTGTCCAGCGGATGAGGGTCTGCCTTCACCTGCTCAGAGACGCCAAAAGGCTCCAAAGGTTCCAAAGGACCGGTTTCGCGCCCAGGCCTTGCCCTTGGACTCGGTATGAAACTTCAGGCTGCGCGCCAGGGCCGTCATACCGGCCTCCACAGCATCCTCCGCGAGGCAAAAAGGCCACACTGCACTGCAAAGTCATGCCCCTGTCCTGCTCCGGGAGATCCTCGAAGACCGCGTCTGGGCTCTTCAGGAAGCGGCCAACTTCTTCGATGCCCGTCTCCGCGAGTTCCTTGGCCAGAGCCTCCACATCCGCCCTCGTGAGCTCCTTCTTGGCCCGGGCGCCGATGAAGCCCCGCATCTCGTGGCACTCCCAGGGCGTCGGCCTCTCACAGCCGGACCCAGATCGACGAGCAGAAGGCTGCAAGGCAACATGCAGTGTGACGGTCTACACCGCCAATGCCCAAGGCTTCATATCTCCATGCAAGGCATCTCGCACCATCCCGAAAAGCCTCAAGGTCTCGTGAAGCACTTTTTTCCTGCGAACCCGGCATTGCACGGACATGTTGCAGCGACAACACTTCCTACTGCGCGGCACTGCGGAAGAACTGCTGGCTCCTTGGGTCCATCCACCGGTCCCGATTGGCTTTGAAAACTTTGCAGTCTGGCGGCGCGCCCTGGTCAGACTGCCCAAGAACAACAACCCCCCGCGTCTATCTGACCGTCGCCGCGTTTAGGCGCCTTGTCGACTGCGACGTGAAAGGATTTGCTCATGGAGAGCTCTTCTTCGAGCCTCGGGCACGATCGGGCACAGGCCGAAGAGGCGCCTCCGGCGGTCGCCTCTTCGCTGAGTGCTGCGCCTTCGTCTTTCTTGGATGCTGCGAGCTTCGTGGATACACTGCCTGACAAGAGTGACGGCTTCCTTATTCAGGGGACTTGGAGAGACAGACTTCAGCCATCCCGGCTCCAGCTTCGACAATCGGTTGCACAGTGCGTCCAGAACATCAAACCGTCTGCTACCATGAGTTCCGGTGCTGCACACTTGACTTTCCTCTGCCTAGGCGAAGGCTGCTTGGCGTCTCAAGCAGCGATTCTCATGTTCTGCCCCAGATCCTCCCTTGAGGTTCCTTGTTGCCGCCCGACCCTGAAGGGAGGGGAGGGACGGGGAACACGGGGCTAGCTGCGGGAGGGCGAATTTGCAGGGTTGCTGTCGCTCTTCCGGCCATCTCCCCTTCTTGGGGTGCATGATCTTGCATGACCCTGTGTCGTTTGTCCAGCCGAAGGCGATGGCGTCATGCAGCACGAAAAGCTGTTGAGCATATACCAAAGCCCGATCCTCTCCAGCACAGAGAACTGGTGGCCCTTTGGTCGAGGCTTCTCCACCTTTGCTGCAGAGACCTTCCGCACACGACGGTTGAGTTGAAACAGAGCTCGCTGTCCGACACGACTGGCCTTATCCAAGTTGGGCACCACCTCGTCAGCACGAAGTCTCTCCGGCAGCTTCACCGTGTGTTGGTCCAGAAGCTCCACCTGACGACACAAACCCACAGCAACAGCAGTGACCTCCTCACCGCCTGGAGCACCTGCGGCACATGGTAGATCAGGCGCAGCCTGTAGTCTGGCTCCTCCGCTACCTTGGACGATTCTCCAGTTGTTGGGTTGTCTACTTCATATTTGAACAGCTTTTTTAAGACGCACACGGGATTGTCGAAGAGCTCTAGCTTCTTGAGGAATGGGAATCTGCGCACGGAATGCGCACCACGTTTGACATGGAGCAGAATATGTAGCCGCCACACCTCGACAGCAGCGCCAGCTGCTTATCGAGATTTCGAAGTTGATTCCCACTGGCCAGCAACACCTGCCCGAGGACAGCGTATGGTCCCTAGAGAAAGGCAAAACCGCACTCACCCTCAGGAACTTGAAGGTTTTGAGGCCAGCCAAGGACACCAGTCGGTTGTTTTGGATGTAAACCTGCATGCGGCGTGCGCAACAAGAACATCGGGACAGGTTTGGCAAGTGCACAAAAGCTTACTCTTGCCTCCCGAATGCGGAAGTTCGTCTCAAGATTCTCCACGCGGGACAGCCGATTTCCCTGAAACCTCGAGTCAGTCGCAGAGAGGCAGGCGACGCATCCATGCGCCACTTCCAAGTCGTGCTAAGCTATCCACCAAACGATTTCCAGCGAACCTGACAAAGCGAGATGCCGTGTAGTACCCATGCACCTTCCAAGCTGACTGTCTGAGATGCTGACTGAAATGCTCGAACTTCTTCGAGATGGATTCCGCCCCCTTGTTGGCCAGGTGAACCTCCACAACAAAAGATGTAACGTCAGGTCCAACCTTCAACACTGGGTGGATAGGCCAGTAAGCACAAGGCCTCAGTGCATTCGGAAGCATACTTGCGATTCACTTTCGCCTCGGCGCCACAGAAAAGAACTGACAGTCATGACAGT